TAAGGCCATGCTCGCCTGAGCGTCTTGTCATCGTTTCTTCGACGCACACGCAGACAAATACACATGCGCCTTAATTATGACGTTACGAAAATGGGCAGTTTGCACTGACACCCCGCGTGCAGAATCACACAGCAGACAGACTTAAAAGAGCTCATTAGCACTCTCTAAAGAGCTGTTTACTGCACATAGACACACAGGCACTAATAGGCAGCTCTGTGGATGCAGATGGACGCTGAGTGTAATGAGAATGATTAGGCTTCTCTATGTGGAGCTGGGGAAAGCATGGGCCGACATGACGCTTCAGAGGTGCTTGTTGTTTCAGCTGTGCGCTCCCTGCTTTTCCCCACAACACACACAGATTTTTACTCTGATGCTTCATACTTTTGTTCTTCATCCAAATGCCTTGTTTCTCCCAAGTCTTTTAAAACACACCAAATTTCTGCATACGACAACAGGCCTGTGTTATCATGGATACAATAACAATAGACAATACACGGAGTAAGAAACAAACAATAACTAGTGCTTAGTAACTTTTGGACTTGATTGTTTGCATGTCATCTAAAGGCATTTAAGTTGTACATTTTTCAGACCTGCCTCTGTGCCGGGTTAAATCGCTCCGTTCATTGCCCTTGGTTTACATCACGCTGCATTAGAGGAACCCTGAATGATACCAAAGTCAATCCAGCTCCCTCTCGTCCATATGTTTTGTTGAAGGAGCAGCAAGTTCAAAGCTCTCCGTTCAAAGCGTCTGTCCTCATTTGAATAACGTAGAGTAATCGCTATTACCTTATTTAAATAGTGCAAGTTATCATTTGGCCTTCATTTGCATTGCAGGGGTAATCAGTGCGTCTCTGCATTAACCTCATTATAAAGAGATGAAAGCCCTGATGGAGGCTGACACACTCTTTTATATATGTTATCTTTATTAATGACCAAATTAGGACGATCCATGTTGCTATAAATCAAGGACACATCCTACTTTGATGCAGTGTCAATCCGTATAACTTTGGACTAAAAGAGTTGTGATTGTGGAAAGTCATTATTCATTTCATTTTTACGTACAGAAATGTTTCCTTGCTGTTTTATTGTTTGAATCACATGGTGGTGAGAGAGTCTACTTTTCCCGTGATACTTAAAAGTTATGATAAAAATAAAAAAAATCACACAAACACAATAATGGACCTACTCAGTGTTGCTCATCTAAGCTTAAAAAAGTAATTACTTCCTCCCAAAAAAAAGAATTGTGTGTAATAGGGGTCAAAGTCAGTAATTAAGGCCAAAAGTAACTACTGAATTAAAACAACAACAAATTCATTGACTCAAATATAAATTAAAGTCATCAATGCAAAAACAGACGGGTACTTAGAGCTGGGAGATCTGGGGAAAAAACCATTATCTTCTACTTGATTCTATTTAAATTTTTTCGTCATACAGCCACTTGTGCAGGGCCAGAACACTTGAAATATTGAATTGAACCAAATTCTTTCCAAATTAGTGAGTTTAAGAGAATGGTTGCAAGATGCCTGTCTCTCGATTTGAAGGCACACCACCATTTTTTAACAGCAACCCATCCATCCATTTTCTTCCCCTTAATCCATTTCTGGGTCGGGGGGTGGCAGTCAGAGATGCACCCAGTTCACAGAGCACCAGCCCCTCACTGATCCTCCTGCAGGTGCTGAGTCCACAGGAGCCTAGATCTTTCAGCAGGGACTTTGGGAAAAGTGGGGTTAAGTGTCTTGCCCAAGGACACAACGACAGCAGTCATCAGTGGGAGGCGTGAAGTAGGTGTCGAGGTTGATTCGAACCTACGACCTTCAGGGCCAAAGGCTGATGCTCTACCAACTGAGCTACTGTCGCCCCCCCCCAACAGCAAACGCACTCGCACATGCACGCACCTAGACACAGACAAAGAGCCTTTTTCAAATCCACTCATATCGTAAGAAATTAAAACATATGCGCTGGTACATTAAAACAGCCTGGATCGACAAACAGCAGATATATTGTCAAAATACGGGTGTCACTAAAACTATTTAAATCACTAAAACAAGGAAAGCAATGTGAGCGTCGCCTTCTGCTTATGATTAGACAAAATCTGTGTATATTAGTAAATGAAAATATGTCTTTTTTTGTATGGCACTTTTCAATAACAGTTTTTAGAAGAAGAAGAAGAAGAAGGTCCTTTATTCGTTCCACAATGGGGAAATTTCAGTTTGATGCATACACACACACACATATATACACACACACATACACACATACACACATACACACATACACATATACACACACACACACACACACACACACACATACTGTACATATACACATCAAGGCAAGCGGCAAACTTCTCTTCCGCGCTCCTTTTAGGCAAAGTGGGTTACGGCATAAGAAACAATACGAGCAGTCATTCTAATACAAAATCAAAATAATTAGATTGAATGGTAGACACAGTAAGATACAACGTGAAGTTTGAAATTATATGTCCAACCGATCACCGTAACTAATACTCCCAACACTGGGCTTAGCTACTTTTTTGTTGTGTCAGATTCAGGGGATATATTGAACTGGTTGACTTTAAGATGAAAATATGTATATTTCTCTGTATAATTCTTTAATGAGGTCAGAACAATGGTAACTTTTCGACTTGATATTAAACTGAGCAATTATGTTGTGGGACTTTTGCTGACCTTCTCCCACTTGGCTTATTCTTCACCGTGTCACCCCAGAATAGTGTCGGGCCAATGTTCTGAGGGGACAATATTATGAAGCCACTGACGGTCGGTCTCAGGTCAAGCGCTCTGCAACATGTTTGTCATTCCTTGATCACCAATAAAGTAAAATAATTCAATTACAAAGCTTGACCCTGCAACAGTGACACAGCCTCACACAGACCATGTCAAATTCAATTCAATTCAATGTGTTCTTGTATTTCTCTAAATCACAACAGTAGTTATCTCAGGACTTTACAAAACCATTGAGTTCGCCAACACGGATCAGAGAATCAAAGAAGAAAAGATAAACACGGCCATAAGAGTTGATAATGTCCTGGATCATCACTGTCCTTTTTGTTAGACCCGCTCACAGTCTAACAGACCCGCCTGCATCGGCAAGGAATAATCCTAACACCCATTGGGAAAAAGTGAGAAACCTGAGGGAGAACCATATTGACTGAGGACCAAAAGGGCCGTAGAGAAAGATGAAGTATTTCCTGAGCCCTGATTGTTAATGTGTTTAAGGGACGTTTTCACTAACAGTTTTTCTATTCCTCTGCCGTTTCAGATATTGCTAGATTACTTATCAAACATATCGTGTAATTTAATACACTTTTCTGATTTGTGAGGAATTCCTTGCTCAGACTGCAGGGGCTGTGCAGACTCCCCTCGGCTAAAATGTTGTAAATTAACACAATTAGCAGATCGCCATTCTGCTAATTGGCCACTGGCGTCTGCCGAGAGATGGCTTGAGAGGAGAATCAGACAGGAAATGGGAGTCTGGGGATTCCCCCTCTTTTAGAGGTGTTGTTACTAAACAAACAAGCTCAGGAAACTAGTGAAAGCTGTATGTGTGTGTTTGTGTGTAAATGGATGTAAGAATGGAAAATGTGCTCCTGCATGAATGATTGGATTGTGCATGCCTGCTTTACTCACAAATACGCACATAAACCAATTCTGAGAAGGCATTGCTCACCAGACCTCCAGCTGTGGAGCTCAACATGCAACCACTGCTAGTCAATAAGTCGCAGGAAGCAGCCAAATGACACCGATATTATCCTTTATTCGTGTGCACTAAGTCAAATCAAACGGGGTTCAATGTGGTGTGCGGCTGCTGTGATTACGCCCCGTCCAGCCTTTGATAGCACCGCGGCTTTGATAGTGAGACAACGATGGAGTCGCTGTGTGACTGTCAGTGTTTGCAGATGGCATTGGCTGGGATTAAAGGAAACAGTGGCTCTCCAGCCTCCCGAGGCAATAAAGGGGAGAGCCAGGTGAGTGTGTCTGAGATGAGATGGAGCAGGCGAGGAGGGAGGGGAGGCGCCAGAGCAAGCACACAGGGAGTAAATAAGAGGGGAAAAGTAAAGATATATATCCAAACAGATATAGTGGGAATAAAAGGCGCAGGAGAGAAGTAAAGAAGGATCTAGCATGAGGAAAATGGATTACACAAAAAGCAAAGAGTGAGAGAAGACAAGGCAGCGGGGAGGCAGACAGCGCGGTAAAGGGAGGAGGAGGAGAGAGGAGGTCAAGGTGGAGCTGTGCAGACAGGAACTAAGCTGAGACACAATGTGTTGTAATTCATAGCTGGCTGCAGCTCTGTGTGCGTGCCTGTGTTTGTCCGTCTGGGTCAGTGGAAGTGCGCGTGCGTGTCAGCACGCCTCAGTGCAGCTTGGCACTTTCATTTTTGTATTTTTTTTAATGCCCTGTGTGCAAGTGCTATGTGTGCACATACAGGTGTGTGTGTCTTTGTGGGCACTCAGCAAGGCACATTTTCAAACCCATCTCCAGCCACCTCAGATGAGACGGGATTATAGAGTGACCCTCCATGCCTCTGTCTTATTGGTCTGGCGGGGGTGCATTAGGCTGCTGTAACCAGCCATCCCTCCACAGCACACTCTATACCTGCCGGACGTTCTGTCCTCTGCCACAGAGCAGCTATAGAGAACACCAAATAGAGGAGCAGAGATCTACTGTACATTACATTACAGCACATTGTTTTAGCATGAATGAAACAAACACATCTATTTTATGATTTCATTTATACAACGTGCTACACTGTATTGTGAAAATGCTTTTATCGTTAAATCTGCTATTAACAAATATAATAAACAAATACAACATTACCACCTAACTCACTGGTCTCTGGACAAAAAATACCACCTTTTTAATTGACTATCATGTGTAAAATGCAATTTAGGGTGTTATGCAATTTAGAGGTGTTGTTTTCTAATTATTGTGAGTATAGTTTTTCAGTTGATGTGTTTTGTGTGTGTTTCAGGCATAAAGATGCAGTGGACCCCAGAGCACAGCCAGTGGGCCGAGCAGCATTTTGACATCTCCTCCACCACGCGCTCCCCGGCCCATAAAGCTGAGGCGTATCGGGCCGTTCCCGCCCATCTGCAGCGGTCTGCCACCTACCAGTACGCCTGGGCCAACGATGACATCTCTGCTCTCACTGCCTCCAATCTCCTCAAGAAATATGCTGAAAAGTACTCTGGGATTCTGGAGATGCCCTCCTCGTACTCCGAAGGCCCTGGAGTGATGAATGGACGAAAAGGCGAATCCGAGCCGTGGCAGGACGGAGTGTACCCCATGAGCTGCATCCCTGAGGGGGTGTCAGTGAGGAAAGGGGGGGTGGCCTCTGCCTCCGAGGTGGTGTCCGGCATGTGCAGCTCCCCAGGGCTGGCCTCGAGCACCCTCAGCGAACCCAGCTACTCCAGCAGCAGCTGTGGGAGTCACACAGCCACAGCGCTGCACTCGTCCTCTATGTCCTCTCAGGAGTACGGGCCGGCCTACAGCGGCTCCTACCTGCACAGTACTTACACTTCCCAGTCCGCAGCCACCATTCCCTCCCCCCTGCACAGCTCTGGGCTTCTGCAACCACCCCCACCTTCGCACCCCACGTTAGTCCCTGCTTACAACGGCGGCTCTCCCAACCTGTCCAGTTATAATTACCCCCCAGCAGGCTACCCCGCACAGGGCTCTGTTGGTCCAGGTTATAGCCCAGGGGGGGCCCCTCCACCCTCCTCTTACCTCCCCTCAGGCATCGCTGCACCAACACCCCTCCCTCCTTCCTCAGCCCTACCTGGATACTCGTACCAGAGCCACAACCTAACCCCCATCGCCCCTACCCCTCTCAGCAGCAGCTCGTCAAACTCCCTGAAAAGGAAAGCCTTCTACATGAGCAGCCAGAGTGATGTGGACTCTTCATATGGTAACTTTGGCTACGGACAGAGCAGGAGCTCCGCTGAGAGCCCCATGTACAGGGTCTCTGCAGACAGCAGTAGCTCCAATGGAGGCTCCAGTGGGGCCAGCTCAGGTGGATTTGACCGTAGCTCTGACAAGTCTGCATTACCTTTTAATCCAACCAAACAGTCCTCTATGGGCTCTGAGCAGAGGAAGTACAACAGTCAGCCAACAGGGGGCCCGCTCACTCCTCCCACGTACGTCTCCTCCAGTCTGGGGGGCTCACGTTCAGCAGACTCTCTCGCGAGCTTCACCTCTCCTTCCCTGAGCGAGCAGAGTGAGGACCATCGACTACATATGTCCCACTCTGCTCCTGGTCCAAACTCCTCTTCCTCATCCTCATCCTCACGCCCTGCGGAAGAGCAGCTCAAAAACAGTGACCCTCACCTTCTTGACATGGTGACCTCTGAAATCGTGCAGCAGGGCCCCCCTGTGGATTGGAATGACATTGCTGGTCTTGAGATCGCCAAGGTGACTCTGAAAGAGGAGGTGCTTTGGCCCATCCTGCGCCCAGACATGTTCAGCAGTTTAGGACCTGCGCCACGCTGTGTGTTGTTGTTTGGCCCGAGGGGCAGTGGCAGGACGTTGTTGGGCCGTTGCCTGGCCAGCCAGCTGGGGGCGCCCTTCCTACAGCTCAGCGGCTCCACACTGGCCACAAAATGGCTGGCAGATGGAGAAAAGATCATTCGAGCATCATTTTTGGTAGCACGCTGTCGGCAGCCATCAGTACTGTTCATTAGCGAGGTGGACATGTTGCTGTCGGCCCACCTCAGTGAAGAGAGTCCCATCAACCGACTAAAGGGCGAGCTCCTGGCCCAGCTGGACTCTCTCCTAATGGGCTCTGGGGAGGACGGTGGCAGCCAGGTTCTGGTCGTGTGCTCCACCAGCAGACCCCAGGACATGGAGGAAGGGCTGAGGAGGTACTTTTCCAGGAGGGTGCTCGTGCCCCCACCAGACACTGCAGCTCGACATCAGATGGTGAACCAGCTGCTGGCTCAGTCCCAGCACAAGTACTGCTTAAGTGAGGAGGAGGTGGCTCTGCTGGTGCAGCGCACTGAGGGATTCTCTGGACTGGACTTGGCCCGTCTGTGCCAAGAGGCCCTTGTGGGGCTCTTACATGCATCTGCACAGGGCATGGACATGTCGACCATGATGCCCAGGGGACAGATCAGGCCACTAACATACCAGGACTTTGAGACTGTCTTTTGTAAATTCCAGGCCAGTATATCGCAGAAAGAGATTGACACATACACTGAGTGGAACAAAATGTTCGGCTGCAGCCAGTGAAAAGATAGATTACGCCCTTGAGAAAAAGAGGCTTCCACAATTCCTCCCCTCAGGGCAGAAACATTGTGCTGGAGGGAAGCACATGGAAGGCCAACAGAAGCCCACCAGTTCTCGCTGACAGTCTTTAGATTTATTCACTCACAGTTCAGTGTTTCCCACAGGTTTGAAGGCAATGTGTGGTGGTCGTCGGCGGGGGGGGGGGGGGGGGGGGTACAGTGGTACAGTGGTAGAGGACAATCTTGAGGTCATGAATCCAGTGAAATTAGTCGCACACCTTTTTACAGTAATAAGTTACAGCAGATCAAAAGTGACATGTTTTGACAATTTTTAGGCTATTTTGGACCAAAATGGCTGCTTTAAATCAATATTTCTACAGTAAAAGTTTCTGGTCTTTGGTACAGTGGTAGAGGGCAATCATGAGGTCGTGAATCCAGTGAAATTAGTCGCACACCTTTTTACAGTAAAAAGTTACAGTAGATCAAAAGTGACATGTTTTGACTATTTTGGAGGTATTTTGGACCAAAATGGCTACTTTACCTCAATATTTCTACAGTAAAAGTGTCTGGTCTTTGGTACAGTGGTAGAAGGCAATGTTGAGGTCATGAATCCAGTGAAATCAGTTGCACACCTTTTTACAGTGAAAAGTTACAGTAGATCAAATGTGACATGTTTTGACCATTTTTAGGCTATTTTGGACCAAAATGGCTACTTTAAATCAATATTTCTCAATATTTCTACAGTAAAAGTGTCTGGTCTTTGGTACAGTGGTAGAGGACAATCTTGAGGTCATGAATCCAGTGAAATTAGTCGCACACCTTTTTACAGTAAAAAGTTACAGTAGATCAAAAGTGACATGTTTTGACTATTTTGGAGGTATTTTGGACCAAAATGGCTACTTTACCTCAATATTTCTCAATATTTCTACAGTAAAAGTTTTTGGTCTTTGGTACAGTGGCAGAGGGCAATAATAAGGTCATGAGTCAAGTGAAATTAGTCGCACACCTTATTCCAGTAAATAGTTACAGTACTTGAAAATTGCACTAGCGGACCAAATTGTGTACTTTATACATGTAAACAATAGAGTGGCTATCCTCCTGAGAACTCACAATCTGCCGGAGGAATCGTAGGGGGCTGGTGCTATGTGTGCCGGGTGGCATCTCTATAAGGTTTTAATCACAAAAACGTGTCTCCCTGACCCCAGCGCGCTTTCTGTTCGATAAAAATGGGTGACTCCGAAAGGACGTTCCGCTGTTACCGTAAGTTCTCAACAAAACGCGCACCGTCTTTTCCCCGATGCGGGCCGCATGTTCATAGAGCTGAAAGATGCGGGCCACTTTACCGCGGTAAATGAATAGACACAGCTGCTTACAGCGATGATCGCTGATGGAGACGGAGACACGCGGTGTGCACGAAGGGGAGGGGCTGTGTGTGTGTGTGTAGGTCTCTGTATGTGGGAGAGACGCGTAGCTTGAGTGAGAGTTACGAAGGGCCGCCACATTTTAAACCCCCCTCCCCGCTGTCAAATTGACCGCTGCGGCGGCACTAGACGATGCATGTTTTAAATAGCGTAACAAAAAAAATATATATATAATAATACGAAACGCAATTTGTGGCGGGCGGTCTCTAATCTGTGGCGGTGCGCCACAGATTAGTCTATGTGTGGGAAACACTGCAGTTTGATGAGAACACTGGCTGTTTAAGGGTAAAAACTAGATGAGTTTGACGCAGACAGCCAGGCCATGTTTACTATTTGCAAGATACGTCAGCATCAAAAAAGCTGCAGCAGTGTTTGTGTATATATTGTTTTGTTATTGTTCTTCTGGTTTAGTTGGCTTTTTAAGTGCCTGGAGTGGTGCTTTACAATGTTGTTCATTTGCCTCACAATCTTCATTCATAGCGTAAGTTAAAAATGATAAGAAGCTTTAAAACATGCACGGTGAGTCTGCAACGCAGAGCATCAGAGCCTGCTCACTCGCTCTCGATAGTCTCAGTGCTGAAGTCCAGAGGTGACAGGGGCCCTGACTCTCCCTGCTCTGATCCTCTTTGCAAACTGACAGAATAGGCCAAACTCAGGAAATTGTTTGAGAATTGTGCGGTACTCCTAAAATGATAATGGAAAACACTAAATCTTGATTTGGGGATTAGAGACATATTTGCGTCAGTAAACCACAGGATAAACGTAAAGAGGTGACAATGAATGTACTGGTATGTTTTAAAATGATTGACACTTTCCCTCAGTTTTAATTTCATGAGACTAACATTTTGCATGCCTTTAATTAGGCTGTTTTCATCTACTAATTGACAGTATTATTGTTGCTGGTTCTGGACAGTAAAGGTGACACAGACCCCGCAGAGTGGCCTTCCTCACACTCACTGTCTGAGTTAGACTTGGGTTCATTTGAAGTGGGTTCCTATGATGTGAAGTTAATTGTGCACCTTTCACTGATTTTGTACAGACAGGATTTATAGACTTATTTTAATGGTCACATTTTATTTTAATGTGCAATCCTATATGCCCATGTATTAAAGTAATACATAATCAGTGTTAAGCTTTTCCCAAAAGATGTTAATTTCAGATGTAGAACTCCTCCTGCACCAGAGCACAGTGGGTCGACTGAACAGTTCTGACAGTGAGGCCTCGTCCTTTGTCTCTGAAGGTTCTTTCATTCAGTTACTTTGGAATGTACTTTATGTTTTTACACTATCCTTCTCACTGTGTGAGTAGGTGTCTCTTTTTGTTGTGGCATGAAATTACTAAAGATATTTGCTTTTGTAAGTGCACTGAAGCAGTTTGAACAGGCTGTAGTTTTCTTGCTCTTTTGAAAGGCCTCAATGCCATTGTTAGCGCTGGGATTGTTGGGCTCTGTTCTGTAGAATGATTCATTTTCCACAGCTGAAGTGTTTGTGATGGTAAAAACAGTACTGTATGCCTTTAACACGTGAAGGCCTCTGTAGCCGTTTCTGTGGTATCTATAGGCTCCACGAGAGCTGCACCTGATGTAGGGAAAGCACAGTGCTGAGCATCAGCACAATTGACGGAAAGGAAAGACAGGCAGGCAGTGTGGCAGCAGCAGAGAGGAGAGAGAGTGGTCCGTCAGAAAAGCACCCTCAAAACAATCTGCACTAGAATTCCTTCTGTCAGCAAATCCTCTGGAGAGAGACTCCCTTTAGACACAAACCACTAATCCACTTCAGAGCACACACTACAATAGCACATGCTCAGCCTCCACCGCGACAAACAACACAACACTCAATGCTATACTTGTTACTTTGGGCCTTTGTGTTCCTTTTTCATACATGGTGGCAAGCTTTTTTTTAAGGTAATTTTTATGTAAATGTCCAGTTAGAATTTTGGACACTAAAGCATTTCTACCTCATGGCTACAAAAACACGTGGTATTTGATTTATGTCTTTCCAACTATTTGTGAAAAACGAAATGAAACAAAAAGAGCAGAGTGGAGTGAACACCCTAAAGTTTGCGCAGTCTACCTCACAGGACTGTAAAGCTGCAGCAGAGCCTCGCGTCTGTCAGAGCCACAGCCCACGGTCGGACCACTGGGATCCTGATGAAGAGAACATCCAAACATCTGCAGAGGGAGGGACCGCGGACACTCGGGTCAACCTGAAGCTGACCTGGAAATGTATAATCCAATACATTTGCTTTAATCTTTTGTGAACTACTGTGGTTGTGCGCGTGTGAATGTGTATATACGTGAGCACACTCTTCTTTTTTTATTTAGTGTGTTGAATTTTATAAATCGTTAGTATATTTAACACACTTGCACAACTTTAAAACAGAGTGTAACGTGTTTCTGTTGTACATACCTATACATACAATACAAATGCACCACTTGTTTATATGTGTGAATATGTTGCCATACTTGCAGTCAATGTATTTCCATCTAATCTGAGGTCCAATCAACAACAAACGATTCATTAAAGACATTTTCTTGGGAGATCGTAGCTCGTACTTGCATTATTATTATTATTTTCCACATTTTTGGGTTGTGTTCAAGCTTCTCGGTTCAACGGGAAACGGTTTATTAATCAAAGTTATATATTGCGTGAAAAAAATAAACATATTGTCCTGCCAAAAAGTAGTCCATCTGAAAAATAATCTTAATGAGGCTTGAGTTAGTCACCCTTGTGTACAATTATAAAATCATTGGTGTTTTGTGCAAAGCCAGCACTGTCGCTTCTCTCATTAAAATGTAACAATTCATTTCTCTTGCTGCGTGGTAAGAGTGGCAAGACCAAAACATTAAAGCACTAATTACCCCCCTCCCCACGTACAAAAGAATTTGGATTAGACAAGAATAAGTTATGAAAATGATGTGCTATTTTACCCGCCATATTTCCAAGGTATCATTATATGGCTGCTGCTGCGAGATGGGAAGCTGCTGTATAGCCTCTGTAATTATCGGAGAAAACTGAAAAGCAGCGCGGGAGGTTAGAGTGCATGAGGGGCTGCTGTTTTCTTTATTTCTCCACTTTGAAACACGCTGCAGCCGTGAAGTGTGATCAGAAATAATTAATAACACAAACCTTAAAGGAGATTTTGAAACGCCGTCTATGACTTTGCTCACCTTTGCGATATGTAAATATCCCATAAAAGCCTCATTTGTCTGTCAAATGCATGCGTATGTCAGAGATTATTTCAAAATATATCTTTGTGTTTGGTAGATATGCATACTTATTACTTACACCATTGAGTATTTTGCACTGCGATGATTAACGATTATTTAAATAAGTTTAGAAATTGGTTTAATTGATTTTTACATATAGATATAAACATGCTGAGAAGAGGTTTTATGACTCTGGTAGTTCTATAATGACGGATAAAAATGTATAAGCAATTTTAATCGGACAACTCGATGTGTAAGATAAGATAAGAGTTCCTTTATTCGTCCCACAGTGGGGAAATTTCAATGTTGCAGCGCACAGACAGGACAGTAGTAAGAGCACACAGGGAGCACACACAATACTCTAAAGTGACATTGTTCAGGGCACATTCTGAAAAAATATTCTTTTGGTGAAATAAAAAGACAATCCCATATTCACTGAACTTTACCGATCTAATCAATTAACTTCGACAGAATAATCGGTCAACTAATTGATTATCAAAGTAACCGTTAACCACAGCCCTAGTAAACTCATACAGCTGCAAAAAGAGGCTGCTTCTGTACGCAGATTATAACCAATTAATTTGTATCTTCTTTTTAGCCCATTTAAGCTGTATCTTATCTTATAGAATGAGTCTGGTGTGTGTGTGAATGGTTGGTGGTGGTGGGAGGGGCCGATGGCACATACTGGGGGCCTCGCTTCTGTCAGTGTGCCCCAGGGCAGCTGTGGCTAATGGAGTAAGTTTATCACCACCGTGTCTGGAGAGAAAGAATCATGACATGTCCAAAAAAGCACTATATAAAACTGATGCATTATTATTATTATTATTATATTATTATGTAGAACAATGTAACTGCTTATTTTGACAATTGATTAATCAAGCACATAATATTTAAATGAATCAATGAGTTGTTGAGTGGCAGATGTTAGAGTCTTTCTTAATTTGACGCACGCAGATGAAGCTGAAGTGAAAGCTCTGGAGGACATTCTGATGGGTCATTTTTCCTTTTATCATCAAATATACATTTATTTCATTATTTATGCAATCACTACATTACATTTCACAGCTCATAGGTACAAGTCTGAAGCAGAGCAGTTATGGATCACTAAAACTGGGCTGCAACATTATCGTATCTATGTCCAAAGAGGATCCAACCTCCTTGTGTGACATCTCCCAAAAGAATCTTGAGGTTGTGTCCTTGTCATGATCTCAGCATCAGGGCTTTGGGCGGGGCTTGAGCTAAAATTGAGCGGTAGTTTTTGAAAATGCATTTACTTGAAAAGAGGTTAAGTCTCTACCAAAAGAACTTCTTTACATATTGCACGGGGCTTTCTCCTTTGTTATTGCAGGTTTGCTAACGGTGTAAAGTGCTATTAATGTGCATGTCTGTGTGCTGAACCTCGGGGTTATCTGTCACCACAGTCGCTTTAAAGGAGCCCTCTTTCTGAAGCCCAGCCCGCGCACTAACTCAACTCTTTGCACGACAATTAAAATATGCTAAGTGATCATTTTCCTTAAGTAGCCTTAAATGTGCAATCTATTCAAATATGAGAGGAAATTGCCCACAGCTCACGAAAAACCAGAGGTGGTTGAACAGGGGGGTAAAGCTGGAATAAATTATGCAAATAACACAAAGGACTTTACCACTTGAAAGCCTAATTTTCCTATAATCAGCACACTGTCGCCTAATATTTTTTTCCCACCTCTTATTAAAAGTGACTGTTCTTTCGCCGATCATCAGATGGCTCTATCTGTCATAGCTGGGTGAAAATGACTGCAGCCTGCCAGACTAAATGCTAAAGCGTTCCGCCGGAGCTTTTAGATGACGGTTACATTCCCACACAAGTAATTATGCGAGGCAGAGTCCAGAAATAAGGTTTAATTATACAGTAATCGCTGGTGATGGACACAAGGAAGTGGTGAGCAGCTCCAGACTGCAATCCATCAATGACAAACCTCTGGCCAGTTTTAATTCCTCCTCATTTGCATCCTAACCTCCACACCAAGTTGCGCAAACGCTGTTAAATGTTAATAGGAGCTGTCTCGCCACTCAAAATGAATGCTTAAGCCATTTTTGAGAGGCTTCCCTTTGACGCCCCCACTATACTCTCTCTCTTTTATGTGTCTCTTGTCCTCCCTTTATCAGTACCTCTCTAACCCATCCATCGCTCTACTCCTCCCCACAGGCCGCACCGTGGAGGAGGCACCGTGCGGTCACTGATGCACTAATTGGGAGCAACACTTACAGTTTTATCTCCCCCCACCACTAATAGCAGTCTGCGCGGAAGCTGCACACCTCAGTCTGAGCTGGAGGGACAGACCACGTCCAGACTCGGAGAGATTGGGCCCTCCAGCCACAGCGCTTAATCCACATCCCGCAGGACCTCACACTCAATCCCCTGCTTCATTAATTGAAAACGATGGCCTTTTTTGAATAAAACAAGGCGGCTTTCATAGAAAATAGCATTTTGTCTGGATTTGTTCCTCAAGTAGGAGGCAATCTCATTACGTGTGCGTGCTGTATTTCAAACTGCTATCATCTTTTTCTTGATTGTCTCACAGCGTCGCCCAGATAAATACGCATGCAGCTTTGCGTGGCTGCGCTGATGCCAGGACTGTTTTTCAGCCAAACCATTTGAAGTCTTATCAGCCTTTATGGAAATAAAGCCTTTGCTTAATAAACTATTCCATGGCTTTGGGAGAGTCCACATAAACACCTTTTTTCTGGCGACAACGCCATCATTAGCGCATCTTGTTCAATGCTTTACACATAATTGGAATCAACATCTATTGTTGGTGTTCTTGACCTTCCACTTGTTTTCCAGCAGACACTCGGAAACATTGTATTACTGCTGAGAGGAAACTTAACTAGCAGAACACATGCTAAGTGGCTCTGCCTTGTTTTATCAGGGACACACATTGAATACAACTTTAAACTATACCAGGCTGATTAAAAGGGTATGAACGACTTTCCAATGGCATTAACAGTGGAGTGGACCACACTTAAAGATGCTCTGATTGGTGTGACACGTCTGCATTGACAGCTCTGGTCTCTGCACAGAAAGTGAAATGATTGAAATTTGTGTGAATCTGCCAAAGTGAGAGCCGTGCTGTTGTAACGCCTCCTTCACGTGGCCTTGCCAACCTTCACACAATCACACAATTACTCTCCGGAAATCTCCTCTCCCTCTGAGCAGAGCCAGGTAAGCCGGAACACTTGTGCTTCCAGTGCTTCTTGATGCCTACACTGAACAGCCGCCATCATCACACATTTGTTTGGTACAACTTCTTCTGTCAGTGGATAATGGGCCTCAGCAGTATCTTTACAAAGACAATTGCCGAACCCTTTTGCTGAGACACCCTTTTGCAAATACTACGCCCTTGATTATGCTAATATATTATTATGTTAATGTGTGCATCGTTAATAATGGATGATGCTGGCATATTGATAATGCATTGAATCTATTGTTATGCAAATGCCACATCTGAAGTTTAATTATTGACACTAGATATACAGATATTGTAAATGACAACCGGACGCAGGGTTCACTTAGTGTTGCAAAAACAAAACAAGGAAGTTGGACTGTTTGTTCCGACGGACAAGATGAAGGCCTCAATCCCCACAGTGCTGCAGGCTCAGGCAGCTTTGTCACTTTACTTAGAGTTGTCCTACAGAACTCTTCAGTGGCAGAATGACCACCTGTTGACCTCCGTTACCAAGGTATATGCTGGTTTTTCTGTAGCGTGTTCACTTTCATATGTTCATACATCGTCATTTTGGGATTTCTTTCGAGACAACTGTGGCTGTGATTATGGGCTTCACAAAAACAACATTTGGTTTTCAACAATTTCCACACTTCAGGACAAAAATGTTTCCTTCACATTCATATCTTGTAATTCCACAGACAGAAAATGATCAGAGTGTGTCGTTAAATCCCGGTTTCTTGAACACGTGTATTTTCCAGAGATAGGGAGATCAGAGCAGCTGTAATCAGATTTGGTGCCTCGCTCACGGTCCGACGTTAGATTTGAAAGACGCAAAAGACTCTAAAGCATGCCGTCCTGGAGCCAGCACGTCCGCTAAGAGGGAGCCAGGCAAGGCTTATGGATGTTCTACCTGTGCAGATACAGGGAGTGGAGAGATCAGAGCAGAGCTGTCGTGTTAGAGCCGCCTCAGAATGACAGGACTCGAGCTGCTCTCCAGAGGGTTCACAGTGGACTGGAGCAGCAGTTTGGGATGATACAAGACAATCACAGTCATGTCAAGTGTGCAGATCGATCATAAGACATCACACGTGAGAAAGGATACCCTGGGAACTGGACACAAAGAAAGACTTTAAACTATCAATTCATAACAGCCCATCTAGATTGTCAAACAATACTAACCTGCATTTGGAACAAAGTAGAAGACGACCCATTGGACCATAGACTTTTATATAACAACTTTTACTGAATCAACTTTCTTTGACGTGCGGAGACAGTGATGTGTGTCAGAACCACTCAGATATAAGCAGTGTTTTACAAAAGGTTACTAAGGTTACAATTTCTCAAAAACCAACCGTTCTTTAACACATTATTCTTTCTGGGCATTTTTTGTGCTCATTGACCATTCATTCGTTATCAAAATGTTCAGCACAAATAACAAAAGAGCACCAATTAAAGCCTCATTGAATGTCTGCTTCTGCACACAAACTGGTTAATCTAAATTGTGCATAAACCTCGGAACAATGTGCATTTGACCGTCATAAATACACTGCATACTATAGTAAAGGAGATTTAATGAGAACAATATACAACCATATCATGTAGTCTCTCTGTTCTATGAGACGTGTGGCACATTTTTGGAATCCGTGGCGAGGAGAGCGGTTTTGTCGAACAGAGCAGTGTGTGATTTCTCCCTCCGCCATAACGCCACACCATGTACACGCCGCGACGGAGACATCCAATTAGTATCCAGTCAGTCTGTGTTAGCTTATTTAAAACACACCTCCACACAACATGCATAGGCAGGCGGTGGAGGCAGTGTTTTCCACATGGCTGCAGTGGACATGGGCGGAGGAGGGGTGGAGGGATGGGGGGTAGGGGGATGGGGTAGCTGAGACGGCGCGGAGAAGCAGCTAAAGCGTTCTGGAGGTGGTAGCAATCTCCCCCAATCATGTGTGCCTGGAATGACTTCATTAGGAGAGGGCCATGGAGGAGAAGTCCAGTGGCTGGGAATGGGAATAGCTATAGGGAGCAGGGAAGGAGAGCGCAGGGACGAGGAGGAGGAGAAGCAAAGAATGAGCCCTGGATCCTAGGCGTTTTATCTGGCCCAGTGTGATGGAGAGATCCAAATCAACAGCTGTCAGTCAGGTGGGCCCCGGGGTGAGGCCCTCCGGCGCTGGGGGGTGGGGAGGTTTATCGCTGCATCACTGGGGCTCGTGATGCAATCATATGTACAGTACTAACAACATATCTGCTATTGACAGACGTTATAGACAAACTTGACCCGATTTCTAAGAACTTACATCGCCTGTAGTTAAAATGTCTTGAATTGATAACATCTTATAATGTTATGGGAATAATTTATTTTAATCTGGTCTCATGGGTCCTCACGACCACACACACCACTGTACAGTACATGCATGTTACACATGTGTTTCCAAAAAGCATAACATACAAACATTAAAAAGCTAATCCTCATTGATCATGGTCTAAATCTGCAGCAGCAGCAGTCCACTGTGTCCACTGTGTCCACTGTGTCCACTGTGTCCACTGTGTCCACAGGTGCTGCACCGGGCTCAGGTGTAATGTACAACAGGAGAAAAATCTGCAGGTCTGTAAATAATAATACATAAATCAGGTTTTCTCTTGTGATTTTAACTCTTCATGAAGAATGTAACACAGGGTGAATGTGCGCCTGATGCAAGACTTTTCTCTGTGGGGAGAACAGGTGCATTTGGAAAAAAGTGAAAACAGGATTTGTGATAGCTTTAAAACATGTGTGTAAATAATTATCTGTGTGATTTGAATCTTGACCAGAACCAGAAAGTACGATCACATTAGTCCAGGTCTCAGGTCTGAGGTTCAAAGAACAGACTTTAAACCAACTCTGCTTCTGTACACGTCTCTCCATGGCCTCGCACAAAACAACATCTGCACAGAAAAAAGGTAAAAATTTGGCAAGATTTAGTCACTGAAAATTAAATAAAATAAGTTATTTTGGCTTGAATTTAGTTCGACTTGTAGGATTATTTTACTTCATAATATTATTAGAGAAAAAAGTGGGAGAAGTGAGTTTTTAAGCTTTTCTTGTTAAAATAAATATGTTATGCTATACTTTAAGAAGAAAAAATCTCAAACATTTTAAAGAAGTATGTAAATAATATCAGGTCATTCGGGGCTAATATTTTCTTATTTTCGTAAATCTTGTCAAGTCATATTTTTGTGTTCTCTTGGTAGATATGTTTGGTTATTATAATCAGTATTTTACTTATTTTCATATGTTTTTTATTCATATTTAAGGGATTTTTTTTTCCAGATTGTGATATTGTGCCAAATGAACCAACTCAAACTCTGAGGGAGTGGACTGGCCTCCTGCTGGGTCTATGAGGAGCACAGGGACGGGCCTCCTGCTGGGTCTCTGAGGAGCACAGGGACTGGCCTCCTGCTGGGTCTCTGAGGAGCACAGGGACGGGCCACCTGCTGGGTCTCTGAGGAGCACAGGGACGGGCCTCCTGCTGGGTCTCTGAGGAGCACAGGGACGGGCCTCCTGCTGGGTCTCTGAGGAGCACAGGGACTGGCCTCCTGCTGGGACTCTGAGGAGCACAGGGACGGGCCTCCTGCTGGGTCTCTGAGGAGCACAGGGACGGGCCTCCTGCTGGGTCTCTGAGGAGCACAGGGACGGGCCTCCTGCTGGGTCTCTGAGGAGCACAGGGACTGGCCTCCTGCTGGGACTCTGAGGAGCACAGGGACGGGCCTCCTGCTGGGTCTCTGAGGAGCACAGGGACGGGCCTCCTGCTGGGTCTCTGAGGAGCACAGGGACGGGCCTCCTGCTGGGACTCTGAGGAGCACAGGGACTGGACTCCTGCTGGGTCTCTGAGGAGCACAGGGACGGGCCTCCTGCTGGGTCTCTGAGGAGCACAGGGACGGGACTCCTGCTGGGTCTCTGAGGAGCACAGGGACTGGACTCCTGCTGGGTCTCTGAGGAGCACAGGGACGGGCCTCCTGCTGGGTCTCTGAGGAGCACAGGGACGGGCCTCCTGCTGGGACTCTGAGGAGCACAGGGACGGGCCTCCTGCTGGGACTCTGAGGAGCACAGGGACGGGCCACCTGCTGGGACTCTGAGGAGCACAGGGACGGGCCTCCTGCTTGTGCCCAGAGTCAGTACTAAACATGGGGAAGCAACGTTTCGGATTCATGCAGCTAAAATCTGAAAATGTCTTCCTGAAGATGTGAGACAGGCTTCTCCTCTGACATTGTTCAAATCCAGATTAGCTTTGCATACAACTAAAGGGTTGTATCTTTGCTTGTTTTAACATACTTGTGATGTGATTTCAATGATCCTTGTGTTTTGCTGAGTACTTTGAGATGGCTTGTGTATGACCTGTGCTACACATATAAACTTCCCTTGCCTGTATCCTGTCACAAAATCAAATGAATCCTCCCACAAAATGTATTGTTAAAGCTGAGTAGTTAATTTGAGTTGGAAGGATCACCACAAAGACATCAGCAAGGAGAATAGCCTCTGATGTCAAAACGATATTGTCCAAACAAAGAGGTTCTTGTTTACACTACTGAGGGATCTGCAACCTTCCTCTGCCTTTGTCTTACTCATGTCCCTCTTTTCTACATTAAAGACGGTATTTTCCTCTAATATACGCCTGCGCCTCGAGTATCTGGGAGAACACTGTGCTATTGGCAGCTTGACAGAGAAGAGAGGAGAGTATGCAGCGAGGGTGTCCTGCCAAGGTCACCGCAGTCCGAGAAGTTTGTCCAAATGTGATGACATCAGCACTGTGCACGTTATTGGACGGCCTCCGATATTACCAAATAAGAAAAGTCCCACCTAAACCTCCCAAGTCACCACCTCTCCAAAAATGATTGCCTTGGAGCTGTCTGCTTATTCACCCATTGCATATTGGCAAACAAGAAGCATTACTTTATGACCAGAGAAATAAATAGGTTATCTTTATCATAGCGTAGTTCAGAGTTTGCCCTGAGTTCATGAGTTGGAAGGAAAAAGGAACCTTTTGTAGCTTAAAAAAAATTGCTTCCCAAAAACTGTTCTAAAGATTTGTTCAAAGGGGGTTAAATGTACAATGCACAATGTCAGCAATGTATTTCTGACCATTTCTGATTTTTTACTTCGCACATCATTTGCTGGAGCTGGAGAGGAGAAAGAGCCCCGGACTATGAGCTGCAGGCTTCAATTTTTTGGAAAGAAATGTAATGTTGTACTTGTAGAAGCTGCATCACATTGCAAGGCGCACCTGTCCCACTGTAATGTTAAAACATTTAACTCAAACACAAGAGTAAGAGTAAAGCCTGTAGAGTAGTGGCCCTCGTGACGTCACCTGAGGTCACATGACCAACGCAAGGATTAATGCAAGACCGTTGTGCTACCCCCCCGTGCACCTTCAGATTTTTCTAACTACACCGCGGGCAGCACAGAGAGGGTCCACTGTGATTGGTTCATGTGTGAATACGTTTTGGATGAAGTACGGAGCGGCTGCTGGGAACATGGACGGGGCACTACGGGGCAGACTGTTCCGGGCTTCGAAGGGGACCAAAGGAAAAGCAGTTTGGGCTCATGGCTCAGAGCCTGATGCTCGAGGAGGTTGTGGACGAGACTGATATCCAACATATATCCAACATTTATGAACTGTACAGTCGTTTCTTCAGCACTGCTCCTGTGTCTTTGTTTGGATCTACACTTGAAGCTTATCGCGTCCGTTGCGTTCACCGCTCTTGTAAATACTTTATGTTTGTCTCAGATATTTATAACTTACTGTTTTTTTGTTTGTGCTGAATACACGTCAATAATAACTATGTTTATTCTGTGAGATATTTACACAGATATAATAAGTGAGGACTTTTAAACTTCATTTAATCTACTTCAATTCTGTTGGTTCTATTCCTTGGCATTTTTTTACCGCTACAAACACAAAAAAGCTGCACCTTAAAACTTGTATTATTCCTTTTTTAATTATTATTTTCAAGATAGAGATTTTATACTTGTTTTCTGATGCTAGAGTTAGAGATTTTGTTTTATTTTAATTATAGCTATTGCTCACTTATCTTGTCCTGTGTGCCCCTCTTTTCTACTCTTCTATAACTTGTGATGCAACACTGACATTTCCCCACTGTGGGACGAACAAAGGATCTCTTAATCATAATCTCAATCTTAATCTTTCTATAAACCGCTGCCTTCAAAATGCAAGAAAAAAGCTGCGGCTCATTGTGATTTTGATGCAGGGATTCAACCTTAAACAAATGTGCACTTTTTACTGTGTTGAAGGACTATAAAGGGTTTGAGATTCCAGTATCACACGCAACAATATAGACTAGTTTTTTGGGGGGAACCATGGGCCATTGAACCTCTGAGCTGTTTTTAGTTTCTGGTTAGCGCTTAATCAGCTCACGCAACTGCAGATCAGACCGAAGAGAAAAGATCATTCTACGGTTTCAGAATTTAATATGGATGCAGCACAACGCAAACAGGGTCCTGGGACATTCTGTGTGGACCGTGGTTGTACTAACTCATGGAAACGCTTGGTTGAATGGCTGGAAGGAGACTGTTATGATCATAAGAAGCTAACGGCTAACTACGAGGCCAGCCTGTGGTTAGCCGTTAGCAGCTTAGAAGTTGAAGAAGTTGCCTAAAAAGTGTTTGTTCAGATTCAGATTCAGATTTGATTTATTCAGACATTTTTAACATTCATTACAGAAACATAGAACTTTTATACACATGTCTGAAACAGAATCGGCAGAAGTTCAAGCTTAAGGCCCCTCTCCCTACTGCTATTCTGCTGTGTCATTTTTATTTACTGCGGGGAAGACAAACGTTCAAATATCGCCTCTACGTCTTTATGATAATGTCGCTAAATCCAGTCTGAGATTTGACAGCCTCTTACAAGCATAACGGGCTCATGGACTCGGAGAGAGAGGAGTGACACGGCTAAGATAGCATGATGCGTATCTAATAGCATTAAGCCTGCTTTTGATGCTCAATAATCCATCTGTATTATGATTGATCCGTGCCGCTCCACACTTTGTCTCCCCACAAATGAAATGGCCTGTCACTGAGTCCATACAGTCATCAATATCCTCCACAGTTATTCCTTGTTTTTTCCCCTCTTTTGCCGGATCGTTTATAGTGAGTAATCATGTGTCTGGTACGTGCTCTCGTCTCTGCGGGTTTGATCGCATAGTGCTTTTGAGCGGCGTAGGGAAAGTGCACTGACAA